AAATTTTTAATTTATTTATATTAGTTATTTTTAACTAATATTCAGCTAAAAATATATTGCAAGTTTGTACTTTGCAAAAAATATTGTAGGTTGAAAGTAATCATTTAAACAAAATGCTGGACTTGATCCCAAAGGTAATGCAAGCAAACATACATTGTGACAATGTCTTATAATAATTATTATTTAAATAGTATATGCATTATTATTATTATTATTATTATTATTATTATTATTATTACTATTCTTATCATCATTATTATTATATTGTTGTTGTTGCTATTGGTTACTTCTTGTTCCTACTTCTTGTATTTCTTGTGACTCCACGTCAGTGTTCTGCAACAAAAAAAGAAAAGAAAAAAAAATCTCTCTTAAGAACAACAAAACAAAGAGAGGATATAATAAAAAAAAAGTACAAAGGAATCTTCCTCCTCACCGGTACAGCTGAGCACCTGCTGACTCCGTCTCGGTCAAAGCCAGCCTTGTTCGCCAATGGTCCGGCTTCACCTGTCATGTCAAAACTGGAAGTGTTGGAGACAGAAAGAGAAGGAATAAAGACGTGAACCTCTTCCCAGTTACAGCACAGCTCACTTTCTGAGTGGGTGTCAGACAAGCTCTGATGTTCAGCCTGGCCTTTTGACATTTGGGATGTGTAGGCAGAGACCTGTTAGTAAAGTTAGTCCCGACAGTGGAACATATAGCAGCAATAGGCCAAATTAAACAAGGTATGAAGGAGACTGGAAATTGGAAAATCACACAGATTTCTTCTCAGTCATAGTTACTATGTGAGAGCTCAGTGGCAGCGCAAGCAAGCAAGTCTCACCGTTTACTGGTTAGCAGTGGTTGTCCTTCAGTCTCATCATGTTCTGCACGATTACCAGCAGCACCTCCAATGTCCAGTTCGCTGAAGATGAAGAAGCATTCACAGCCATTATCAAATGGGCGTGATAAACCCTCAGGGTAAGCTACTCAATTCTCTATAAAGTGGTGCATGTGTACGCATAAATGTTGCAAAACTGTCTGTTTTTTCATCTTTATTGCTGTTGGTTACATCGTTTTATAAACGCATGATGGCATGCAGTTTAAATGTATGCTGGTTATTATTTTTGTATGTTACTAACACCTTTGATCATCATAACATGCAAACAGCCTGAACCGAAGCTATTACAATCTCTTAAGATCTAAAACAAGAAACAAAAATGTGTTCTGCTTTGATTTAAATCATCACAGACTTACCTAATGTTTTGTCCTTTGTCGCTATTCACCCCTCCTGGTTCTTTCTTGAAGTTCCTGAAGGAGATAGGGGTTATGTAATAGTACACACTGAAGGGAAACATAAAAATATGATAGAAACTTGCACCCAACCAGAGACAAAAGTGTACCTGTTCATAGAGCGGTGATGAGAGATTCTGCTAACATTGTGGGTACTGATGTCTCCACTGCAAAACAAATAATAGATAAGGATGCCACAAGAAAAAACAGCATTTACTTGACATAAACCTCAAGAACAAAATAGGCTCTAGGCACAATAACAAAAAAAAAACAAAACCCAATTCTCATTCTCACTTTTTAGTTAGCTGAATTCTCTCTGTGCTCAAGTTGCGGTCCACGCTGGGGGATTGAGGAGTATTGACATCAGCCTCAGTGCTATGCAGACAAAGGTAGCTTTTAGCACATTAGAGTCTAGACTTCACATTGTTATAAGAAAGCACAGACACAGACAGTGTCTGGACTGAAAGATTAAAAAGAAGGTTATAGTGGATAAAGTTTTAATGCTAAAGTGACAGGCTAACCTTTGAACAACTACACATTCAAGTGCAGTGCCTTGCTCATTATCTATACGCTGTCCAGGGGGAGCTCTGCAGAAGAGAAGAATGGCAAAGAATAAATAACAAAGTATCAAAGAACAATAAAAATACAAAACAGAAGCAATAATTAGAGCCTGATAGAAATTCATTGTCACCAAGCTGTGGTAAAACGTCACTTCCTTCATCGGGTCTTAAAAGAAGCATTTTCTAAATTAACACCGGTGACATCAACGGGCATCCAGTTTAAATGAGTTTATTTAACATTAAGTGTTAAACAAAGTACAATGATTATTGTCAATGATGTGGCCCTTTTTAACTTTTAATATTCATTCATTTTTATATGTTAAGTTGGAGGCACTGAAGGGGATTTAACTACCTGTAACACAAATACATTCACATACTTTCTGGTAAGCATTTATCGAATTTCCCAGAGGAACCCACCCGAGGGATTAATAAAGTTCTATTTTATCTTAAGCAGGTAAGCTGAAACATGCAGTATGTTAAAAGTAAGACAGACCTAGTTTCTTGTCCCTCTCCTGTCTTTTGGAGGCAAGTCAGTAGGTACATTATAAACCCAGAAACACTGGCTTCACTGTGCTGCTGCCTGAACAAAAAGAAGCATAAAAAAGTTATTAAACTTTGCAAAACATTATATAAGTTAATCTGTAACATGGCAATAATAATTTGATTTTTTTCAGGCCATAGAACTCACTCCAGATGTGCTTTCCAGTTGTGGAGAAGAAGACCAATCCCAATTATGATTATGATTATCCCTAGAATGGCTGGCAAAATGTAATCTGTATTAACACAAAACACTTGAGTTATAATTCATTCACATCCATTTATAGTACTAACAACAGCTATGCAATAAAGCAATAAAATGAGCACACGGGATCCACTCACAGATGAGGGTCGGCAACGCCTGTGACTCGTTGGGATCGGTCTTAATTGGAGCTGTGACATCAGCTTAAGAAAAGGAGATGATTGATTTGTGCAGTATATTATGTAAACATGAGGCATTTTTTTTTTAAATTTGAAAACATTTATTAATGTATTCTAGTATAAAAATAGGTTGCCTTACCAATAATTTTGAAATAGGTGCAGTGTTCTTTGACAAAAGGCTTTCCCTAAAAAGAAACAGAGGAACGAGTTAACATTTTAGATTTACCCCTAAACAGGACTTTCTCTGATTTAATTCATACAAGTACCTTCCTCAATCCATCAGGAACTATGCTTTGAATTGTGATGTCTCTGCACTTCACTGTCGTCACTGAGTTGTTGTCCATGTGTACAACTTCAGATGACAACCTAATGGAGGGTGGATTCCGCAGTTCAGCATGGCCAATACTTGTCTGTTGGGAAAAGAAAAAGAAATAAACGGCAAAGGTGTACAAATACTTTGTAACAAAGTAACAAAGTACAAAATACTTATTACTTATATTATACTGTTACAATTTTCAAGTATACTTTGTGTATTCATTTTTCTGACCCCTTTTTACTTTTACTCATTACATTTTAATACAAACATCTGTACTGTCCACTCCAAACATTTTCAAAACAGGCTTGTTACTTTACGCGTAACACATTTGAGGGAAATTTTTGTTCCCCAGCACTGCACACCCACAATCATTAAACCAGTCTGATGGGAAAAAGGCAATCATATTGGTGTAGCTATCACACAGGGATTTGGGGAAGAAATATATGCAATTTATGCATCATTTATAAATCTACTGGACCTTAAATTAGAAATGTTGTGATTCTTTTCTCCTCACTGCGCCACTACAAGCGATTTTAGGGTTCCCCCATCTCCCGAATCCCACTGTAATCCCCAACTATAGTCACTGTTCTGTTTATGTATGGAGGCCAAATAAAAAGAAAAAAAGTTTGCATTCACATGTACTAATATTCATTTATTTATGTATTTATTTATTATTCAAAGACCTGCGTTTTATTTTCTTACTATGAGTACATTTTACACTTATATTACGTATTTAACACAGATCTGTGTATTTCTACAAAACCAAATAATATCTGTACTTTTGCCCCCTCTGATGAAAGTTTGGCTGCCTTTGTACGTAAAGTAGTGGTTTACACATTCACTTCGCAAGCTTGGGGACTCGGCAAATCAAATAGATCTACCTGTTGTGGTGTAAAAGGGAGAAGCCTAAAGTGCTTTCACTTAAAAGTCTGAAAGAGGCCAACCTACCCCGTTGTCGTAGACATAAATCTTACTTCCCTCGGGAAGTGATCCATGTTTGAACGTGAATCCACCGAGGGTTTTAATGTCGGCACAAGAAGCATTTATCTGATGACATGCTGCGAGACAGTAATTAGGGAACCGTAAAGTTAATTGTATTTTAAAGTTAAGCAAGAAGAAAATGAAAAGCAAACGGAAACATTAAGTAAAGAACCAGGAAACGATGACGCAGATGTTGCGAGAAGAAAAAAAGAGTGAAAATAAGATATTGGTTATAAAGAAATACGTATTTACAATGCTGCATCACTTACCTAATGATTTCCCGGTGAAGAATAGAATTGGGAAAATCAGGCAGCTTCTAGTAAGCATTTTTCGAAGACAACCGAACCTAAAGCAGGAAGTTCGTACAAGAAAATTTGAAAGCCCAAAATCGAAATTTAACCAAGGACAACTATTTTTAGAGTTAATCGCTGGCGGTGCCTTAAAATACACACAAAAATTTATAAAGGCCAGACGGGGCTTTTTGTATATTAGACACGTACCTTCAAAAAATCTTCTCGATCGCTTTGTGTAAAAAAAAGGAAGTTCTAATCGACCGGTCGTCCACTTTTACACTTCGAACAAGACTGTAGGCCAACTTTAAACCACAGTACAAGTTGCCATCAAGTGCGAGATTTACCAAGACTCTGTCCCCACTGACTTCAAGACAAGGAAGCTCCTTCTCTGAGACAGCATGCAAAGCGGAAGTAAGATTGCCGAGGACTAGTGAGTGTCAGAACCATTATCCAGGATGAAACAACAAAGATCTGTGAGTGTATCAGGAAGATGGCCACAACTGATCATGCGTTTAGTGAATACTTCAAACAGCAGAAACCTGGAAAAATAAGGAACAGGAAGTGGAACCATCATGGGTGGACAGGCCCCTGCATTGCGTCACCATTCGAGAAATCCTACGAATGGCACGAGAAAGCTGAACTGAAAGACAGCACAGACACGCTAATCATGGCAGCAGAGGAACAACCTCTACAGGCCGTAATGATATATGTAAACTGACCAGAGATAGCAACATCAAAAAGGAGGAACAAAAGGAGCTAGGGAAATACCAAGGGCTGAGAGAGAACTAGACAAGATGTGGAACATGAAAGCAACAGTGACCCCAAAATAAGAAAGTGCTCATGGTCATGGTATTGAGATTTCCAAAAAAAAAAACAAAAAAAAAAACAGGGGGATTTGTGTTTCTAAATATATGCAGTGATTGAGGGGTCTAAGGGTCTTCTTCTGTGTCTGAGTGTAAAGTCAAACAACTTATAGTTCAGCTAAAGGTGTTAAAGCATTTTTTTTATGTACGTATGGTTATTTTTGAAACTTTTTAGCTCTTACTAACCTAAAGTATCTGTAGTACCTGAGTCATTATTCATTGGTGAAAGTGGTAGCATTCAGTAAATAGAAGGACATAATATCCCAGCTTGAAATTTGATCTCTTTGGGACCATATTGGAACTTATTCCAGCCCAGAGGTGACCTGAAACCCTGGGCTGAAAAACAAAAAAAACAAAACAAAACAAAAACAGACCAGCAAGGCAAATTGCATTACTTGGTGAAAAGGTTGTGTGTGGTTAAAAAAAGAACCTTGTAATTTATGTTGCAGATCACTTTCCTTGAAACTGTGAAATATATAGTCTCAGTGGAAGATGCACTCTCTGAGTGCCCTTCTCATTTGCAGTTTTGCACACTAAACACAAGGGGAGGCCCTAGCCATGTGGGTCAGACACACTGAACAGCCTGTCGTGAAGTGACATGAAATCACCACAGAGGGTTACCTTCATTATAAACAAAGCTGAAAAACATAAGACATCAAACATAATTGCTTACATGTTGTAAGTCAGTATGAGTTCTGTATTTTAGCAGGATGCTTTTACCATACAAACGGATACATTTGAAAAATTTGTGGCTAAAGTTATCCTAGTGTAATCTTTGGAAATTGTTAGTGGATGGAGTCCTCCCAACATATTGGAACCATGAGACAACAGAGGCCTCAAAAAGGCCTCTGTCATTTCACTTTCATGCAAACACACAGAGACACGGTGCAAAGATAAAGCAGAGGCCGCCATGGTGCAGCATGCTTCATTTGCACTGCATCTTCTCTGGTCCACTGAGAAAACACAGACTATATTCTGTGTCACTCGATACGGGCCCCTCTCTCTTTCTCTCCCTCCAGATCTGTCATCTTCTACCATCTCCTAACCTCTCTTTTACCCTGCTCCATTTATTACACGGCAATAATTCGCCAGCATATTCTAGCAAATTTCAAAAGCACTGTGGAGTTTTCACCTTAAACATAATTATGACATTGGCTTCAGTGTGGAAAAATCTAAAGGGACAGTGAAGATGAAGAAATTTGCTTATTAGCCAGTTTGGCGTAACTAACTAGCTTAACTCTGCATCACTCTTCATCACCTCTTGACTACATCCTTAATGAATAAAGATGACAGCATCATAGCGGGCATGAATGAAAGAGTAAATGAACTTGGCTCAGCTCCCTTTGGGGGGAAATGTGTAGAAGCGAACTTGTCCAATCATCTGATCCATTTCCCGTAAATATCAAGTGACAGTGGGAGGGGTTGGATATTCTGCTGTCCCTCTATATCCATGGAGCCTCTGCATAAACACAGCAGAGCAGAGATGACGCAGGACAGCCTGCAAACGCACACAAAGCTACAAACATGGCCATATGACACGGGTTTGCTCTTACAAACATCATGCATCTAGGTCTGACATCTCACTGAATAGATTCCAGACAGTTAAAATGGGATTTTTAGTGTGAATCAGTGATTACAGTACTGCTGCTTGAGTCATCTGACTGCCCGTCTGAACTTTTCCCTTCTTGCTCCGTTCATAAAAGCCGTGATGAGAGATAAACAGCTTTCATCTTGCTGCATAAACTAAATACCATCTCTTCTGTTAAGGGTAGTTCTGTTTTGCCTCTTTTTAGCAGACTGTTTTCAAGAGCAAAAGAAAAGGTGCAAATCAGCCTAATTAAAATGCAGTTTATTATTCTAGACCTCGGGTTAAAACAAAATCTGAGCACACTATGGGGTGTGTGAATTGTGGAGTCAAAGCTGAGGCAAAGCGACATCCCAAGAATCCTGAGTAGGTCTGAAACAATAGTGCTGGCTGCTCAGTACCCCACTTGTGTTTGCATAGCTCCACAACGGTTTTAAAATACCCCCACAGTAAACCGAAACAGTATATACTATATAGACTAAGAGTAACTGCTTTTAAGACAACAGTATCATGTTCGCAATCTTACTAGTTATATTAGCCAATCATAGTTTAAAATCACAGACATCTACATGGCATTTTCCATTTTCCTGGGTTTAAAAGGGAAAGCAAAGAGTCAGCAGGGGTGTATTCACATAAAATGGCAAAAAGTATCATCTCTTATTCTCAGTGCAAGACCAAAGGAGAGCAAAGTTTGGAGAACTAGCATGTTGCGCTGGGATTGCTGCAAAACTTTAGTCTGTCCATTTGGCTCAGTGTGAAGCCTGAAACCCCCACTGGGACAGGTTTGATATCACAGAAGGAAATCTGCACACTGCCAGCACACCAAACACCTCAACATCAACACATACTCCCCTACAGAGAAATATGTGCACAAATATGACATCCATCTCGTTATTTACAGTGTAGTTATGTATCACTGTGCTCTGTAATACACAAGCATGCAACGAGGTTACATAATGGCACTTCAAAAACCAACAAATGAACAATTATCTAAAGTAAATTTGCAAATCTAAACAAATATTCTTCACATGTGAAATGAATGAAGCTGTCACTGGAATATATGACTACGCTTAATCACACGGCCTCACACAACGTTCTGCACACCCAAACCCACTTTCTACAATGTGCGCATATTAAAGCCCCTTCCACAGTCAGCCAAAACCACAGCTCCCCTTTGCAGAGTTTGGTAAGATCAGGCACAGCAACCTGATCCTACTGAGAAAGTCTTATAAAAGGAAGCAAATAAAATGATCCAATAAAAAGCACCTCTCCTCCACACTGCCAAACCTCATATATCTGGCAGATGTTTGCTTACATTTAAATCTCAGCCTGAGGGCCTATCAGTATTCTAATACAAAAGCTTAGTGGACCTGCGTTGGGCTACGCCACGCAAAACAGTCGCAGCACAGCATGCTATGATGCACAGCAGCTTTTGTTCACATGGTGCTGAAGCACATGTTGCGCAACTTGGACAGGCTCTATAACTGCAATATGTTTTCCAGCCAAATCTCCTGAGAGGGATCGCTGTCAGAAAACAAACCCCTGTTTGAGGCATGGCCTCCAGTTGAAGTTGTTCAACTCCTGCTTTTCTCTGTGTACTTCTCTCCCATCCTTACTCTGTGTATTCTTCTCCGCTTTCCCTCTCACTCCACTCACTCGATCTAGTGTCGACTCTTTGCTCTCCTTCTCCCCTGTGTTTCTTTTTTCTGCGCTCTTCATTTCCCCCCCTTGTGATTCGCTGCTGGGGTAACTCAGGATTCTTAGTATTTGGCTGGGCAAACCCAGGGCAAGCGTGTCTTGTTACAGCAATCGAGGCTTTCTGATAAAGCTGTGCATTGTGAAGGATAATCCCTCAGAAACAATCAGGATTTTTATATCCTGCCCTCTGTTGTTTCTGTAGCCTCACACACACACACACACACACACACACACACACACACACACACACACACACACACACACACACACACACACACACACACACACCGTACGTCACACACAGCATCCGTACATGCACATAGTACAACACATTTCACAAACACTACCATTTGTTCTGGGACACACACGCACAAGCACATTTACAAGCACTGGCATGCACTGCACATTAAATGGACTCCTGAGAAAGTATGCAAGAAATTCACATCAAATTACCCATTCGGTTAATTTTGTTTAGAAGCTGCTCTCTGTACTGTTCCCTGTGATTCACAACAGTATCCAGCCTTTCTTGGACACACTGTGAATGGAGTATCTGGGGTCGGGGATTTGTAAACAGGGGGCTGCTGGTTTGCTTTAAAATGTCAGTTAAGTCCATATGTCTATCAGTGTCATGTTTGGTTAGGCCAGCTCTTGTGTAGCTGTTCACACTTGGCTGATCCTTATTGTTAAATAAGCAAAGCCTTGTGTTTGGCTGTGCTGCGGATCAGCGAGGCACTCACCTGAAAAACTGGAGAGAGAATGGAGAGTAGTACAGCAGAGCACTACATAGAAGGCACATTTTAAACCATTTAAAGTTTCTCATTAAAACCAGTGTGCCACTTGGCCATTTTCACAGCAGCTACTTTGACACGTAGCAGCTTAAAAAGCCCACATTAACATTAACAATGGATACGTGTCATTTAGATGCCTTACTTCCAGGGCTCTGGTACCTTAGCAGGATATTCAGATTGAGTGGTGCTGCCATTTGTGTTATTAGTTCACCTTTGAATTTTCTCCTCTACATGTCAAATATTTATGGTGGGGGAAAAAAAGCCAGTTTTCACTCTTAAGTTTTATGGTGTTTGAATAGCACTCAGTTCAGTGAAATCCATGAAAGCAGGTGATTCACACCTTCAACAAGTTAAGTGTAACCACATTACATTTTTAACATTTTTCAACGTGCCACTTCTAGCCAGTTGTTCAATGTCTAGACAGGTAGATGCCTCTGTGATTCCTGGCCTGGGATCATCTGCCTGTCACTGCCATCAGTCCTCATTTTCCAGCAGGAGGTTTTTTCTCCTGGCTTTTCCACCGCTGTCATCATCTGCCACCAAACCAAGGGGAAGGAGAAACATAATTATAGGACAGAGGCAAAGAGCAGAGTTGTAACTGTCAGACTGACACTGTTCGACAATTACATGAAATAACTGTAAACAATCCATCGTAAAAGTGCGTGCAGTCCATCTGTTGTCCGGTAGTGTTGGGGAGGGAGGAGAGGAAAAAGCTTTCATTTCAAGAGATGCTTGAGACACAAATTACAAAAGAAGATAAGACCATGCGACAGATATGATAATGAGTCACTGCTGTTGCTGAATATAATATCAGCTTCTTACTGTACTCTAATGAGTGTCCTCAATCTGCCAATTATACACAAGCTTTCCTTGGCAAGTGATGCTAGTGGATCAGTATTACACACACAAGTTACTCACAAG